GGTCCTAGAGCAAATCAGGGCTGAACTCTCCCTAGAAGCAAAGATGACTAAACTGAGGTTGCCTTATTTTGGCTGTATTATGAGAAGAAAGGACTCACTAGAAAATACTATAATGCTTGGTAAAGTTGAGGGGAACAGAAAAAGAGGAAGAGTACATTTCAGATGGATGGATTCAATCAGAGAAGCCATGACCACGAATCTGCAGGAGCAGGGTAGTTGAGCATAGGGTGATTTGGAGATATATAGGGTCATCTTGGGTCAAGGGTGACTTGAAGGCAGTTAACAACAACAAAGAGTTACCATTAATTTGGAAATGACTTGAAGGCACACAACAACAAAGTCATAGATGGCATCAAGCTCAGAGCAACAGTTCTGTAAGGGCACCCATACCCAATTCCTACTGCAAACAAAACACTTTCTTCTCCAATGAGAATGCTTCACCGTCTTGCTAAATAAATTTGTTCAAACCCACTATTAGCCATGTGTTTTTAAAGCACTGGGGTACATTCAGCACAAATTTGCAAACACAAACGCACAGAGAAAGCATGATTGCATACTTTGTTCCTTCAGAAAGAAAATAGTTTTAGCTATTCCTGATGCAGTTCCCCTTTATTTATACCACCGTGTGGGAGCTTAAAGTTCATCTTACAAGTTTAACATTCCATGGATCTCATCCAATGCCCACTGAGAGCTGAAAAAGTTCCCATCAAGTTCAATAAACGGTGAATCGCAGCCTGTGTGGAAAGGTACAATTAGATAACCTCACTAAACCTTTAAACTTCATGCACTCCGTCCCTAAAACAAATTCCAAACATATCACATAACAAAGACATCTTTATTTTCTTCAGTCACTAAAATGCTTTCAACTGTGTCGCAGGATTGCTGAACTTCAGGTAAAGGAGTTTACTGACAAGATACAGAGAGAAACTAACTCCAAAGTCCCACAGAATATGTGTTTTTGTCTCTGTCTCTCTCTCTCTCTCTCTCTCTCTCTTGCTTTCTCTCTGTTGAGGAGATTATCAAGCTACGGTCCAGATGGGGAAAAAAGAAAAGAGGGAAAAACACTGGTGTTAACGGCTGTAATTTCTGGAGGGTTATGGTACTTTGTGACCACTGACATTTTAGGAGAGTGGAACTGCGTCAGTGACTAGAAAGCACAACAGAAAATTGGAGAGCAGATCAGGCAATCAGTCAACTGGAACAAAGGAGAACTACAGTTTAGTAACAACAGAATAAAAGCATGTAAAAACAAGCCAAACATAAAGTCAGAGGATCAGTGCATGACTCCAGAAGGCATTTCTGCACTAGAGTTTTCTTCCTTTCTTCTTTCCCCCCTCACAAATACAACTTCAGGGAACACGAGAATCAATTTCATTTAAAAAATGTATGTATGTTAAAAATCTACTTCTGTTTGATTACAATAACCAAAAACATGGATGACTCACTTTGGCAGTTTACAGAGTTCAGCATATGATATTGTATCTCAGTGCTCCAGATTGACAGCATTGTCTAAAAGAGCAAACATTTATCTCCATAATGGAAGTTCCCTATAATGGAGATTTCCGAAGATCTCACTGGGTGCTAAACAGAAGTAAAGACTAAAGAGATTTTCAAAGAGAATCAGGGCAGAAAAGGGCAACCTATAGTTTAGTCTTTCCTGGTGTATACTCTTGCACTCTTGCCACTGAATCTGTTCCATACCTCCTCCATCATATAACCCCAGAAATCCTTGAGCAAGGCATCTTAGAGAGCTTATCTACATGGAGAACTTAGCCACAAATTTTCAGTTCTGCATCATACTGAACTGTGTAGATATACAGAACCAGTTTGTTGTAATGGTTAAGAGGATGGCCTGGATGTAGATTCAAGTCTCCACTCACTGATGAAATTTATTGGATGACCTAGGGCTCTTCTCAGCCTGGCCTTCTTCACAGGGCAGTTATGATGACCAAGCTGGGAAGGAAAGCATGAAATATATCACTGGAGAAAAGGTGGAATATGACTAAATTAAAAAGAAATTAACAAACACAGCCATGCTGACTGTGAGATTCTGGATGCTGCAGTAAAAAAAGTAACATTGCCAAGCTCTGACCACTGGCTGTTAAGAGTCAGTTGATCAGATATCATTCCATTCACATTTTATCTCCCCATTTCCTTATTCCACTTGCTGTGAAAAGGACTTCTGTTAGTACAGATCGCCAGTGGCGTCTACCTGAAGCAAAATTGCATACAGGATGGAAATAAAAATGGAACCAAAATGGAAATCACAAGAAAAATGGTGGCTAGTAGGGAGGGGGAAATCCCTTGATGCCTTTGGGAAGATGCCTTCAAATGCTCTCTAGAAGGACCGAAAGGTTTTTGTTTGCTTATGCAAGGAAACTGTCCCTACTTCTTCCATTCTGTTAAAGGAGGATTGCTCAGGACTACATCAATTTTGGTAACTGAGGTTCACTTGCATTTCTGTGTTCGTTTTTAAGTTTGTCTCTTACACACCTCAAACACTTTAACAACAACAAAAAGGAGCCAAGATTCTATGCACTACTAACATGTAATCCATACAGAAACTCCATACTTTATATGACCAAGTATGCATCTTCCAAGGAAAATACATGCTTCACCCAAAGATAATCATATTTCTTATCTTTTGAAGTTAGAATCCTAACTGGCAGTTCTGCTTTCATAACTATTTAAGGAAGCCATTTCCCAAACATGTTGGGAGCAGATGTCAGAAATCAAAAATCAATCCACAGAAATGGAGAACATTAACTGAATTTGGAGAAGTCTATATATTAATGCTTCCCAAAGGTGCCTTACCCACACAGTGGGCCCTTGGTATCCACTAGGGTTTGGTTCCAGGATCCACCACTACCCATGGATGCTCAAGTCCCATTAAATATAATGCCATAGTAAAATGGTGTCCTTTATATAAAATGGCTAAATTTATATACAGTCGTCACTGCCCATCCATGGACTTTGAGGCTAGAGTCTCAGTCCTTCATAGAGAGGCAAGCACGGAGGGATAAAATGGCGTGCATACTGCCAATGGGGCTTGAATATTTGCGGGTTTTTTTTGTTTTGGGGAGGTGGGTCTGGTATGGATTCACCCCAAAAACGGAAGGGTGACTGTATTTTTTACTATTTTCAAGCTGTGGATGGTTGATCCATAGATATGGAAGGCCAATTGTCTCAAGTTTCTACAGTGAGTAATGTCCTGCTTTAAAATACAGTGATATTTTAAATTGGCATGCAAATCATTTGTGTTCTCTTGTTTCTCCTTCTTCTGTCTGGTGAATAATAGCTTGTTTGGGGAAAACAGAAAGAAAACCAGCTCTTGCTGAGAAAAGCATTTTCAAAGATTAGTGTTTTGGCATGCCACATACAACCATGCTTGATATGTTTAATTCAAAAGATACACCTTATTCTGACATATGTAAGCCTTGCATCCCACAAAGAGAAGCGGAAAGGTTGAAGACTAGAGCTTAATTCAGATGGGCGTGTATATCATTTGATAAATATGCATCTTTGATGACAGGCAGCTAGCTGTGTGAACTTGGATAGAAATATATTTTAATGGTTATGAAGCATCAGGAATGTTCTATCTGTGGTGACATGAGCAGGTCAACATTTCATGCTGCAGTGATGAACAAGGTGGATTTCAGCACTGGGACCCCCAAGAAGTGATCAGCATCATTTTGCTGATTAAAGACAGGGAGCATGATTTTGCTGATTAAAGACAGGGAGCACCATACCAGCAGCCACACAGCCCTCACTCTGAGTAGCCATTATTGTCCATAACACTAAGAAATTAGGATTCTGGATCCTTACAGTTCATGTCCAGAAGTAAGTATCTGTATCAACCCTTACTGACTGCAAGTATGTGTAAAATCTCTACAGAATATACAGCCATCTGTAAGGTGAAAAGCTGTGCTGGAGCTGCATCTATTTTGTCCTAAACTCTGCTGGAGCTGCCAGTATTGCTAATAGTCTACTACTTATATAAACAAAGGTGGCACATATATTATCAACAGGAGTTTGAAGAGCAGGTGCTGTGCTGGTCCAGAATAAAATATGACAAGGATT